AAAAAAAAAAAAAAAAAAAAAAAAAAAAAAAAAAAAAAAAAAAAACTGTATTAGCTCTTTCCCAGCCCAGTACTACATAGCTCCTATTATGAATCAAAACCCAGGCACAAGTACATCTGAGCCCTCCCTCTTTAAGAGAAAGAGGCTTTACACGGCTGGACATCAAGAAGATCCTTAATATACAAAATTGTTCCCACCTACTCAATAGTGTACCACTGACTCTTTAGTTCCTGACATCATGAAAGGGACTGGGTGAGAGAATGGCTGCTAGGCTTCCTGTTCTGTTCTTCCAGGTGTGGCGATTTCAAGCAAATCCAGGTAAGGGATGGTTGTTAGGCTTCTTGTTCTGTCCATCCCAGCATGTGGGGCTCTAAGTGAAGGCTTAGATGCAAAGTGAGGCCAAAGCAGGAATGATGGCTTGCCTGCCTGCTGAGCCTTGTCCCCCCAACACCACCCCAGTTAAATCCTAGAACCTACACTTCTAGGCCCATAGTTCCTCCATAGGGAAGCCTCTGAAGCAATGATCAAAGGCCTACACCTGAGCTTCTAAGTACATAAATACATGATGACTTGGTGGAAATCTGCAAGGATAAAGTGCCACACTTTTGAATAAGTGGGAAAGGCCTACAGTCTTTTCCTTAGTATTGGCAATGTTTGCTGAGAGGGAAGCAGCAGGCATTTGTTTATGTGAACTGTGAAAGCTACTGAACTATACTGAATAAATACACGATAGCAGGTGCCTGGGTAATTTTCCTTTTTGTTTAACCCAGTGCCTCCTGAACCTACTTTTAAAGAGAAAATGGTTTCTATTAACATGTCTATTGGGGCAAACAAAATTATGTTGATTTCAAGTTTGAATGGGGTTAAAAACCTTTGGAATTTCGTATTTTGAATTTTCCCCTAATTCTTCAGGGGTCGTTCTCTTTAGGCAGTCACCTTTACTAATCAAAGCCAACTTTGGCTCATAAAAAGAAAGGCAGAGCAGAAGGAACCATTTCACAGTTCTGAACTGAAGCACACAAACCCAACTAGGGCAGCAGTAATAAGTAAAGGAGACATCTGGCTCTGCTACTACGAACAATCCCAAGTTGCTTGTGACAGTAAGAATGTCTCCATTGGACTCACAAAGGCAGACATGTGATTAACAGGTGAAACAATCTTTGTGGCTGTATAGTCCAGATCTAGATGAGTGCCACACGTCACCAGTGGAAGCAAAGGCTTTTCACTCACTTTTATGTGTGTTGTATGAAACTGGATGCTCCATTTAACTGACACTTCAAGGTTTTATTAGCCTAAGTGCTTACTGCTCTTTTCAGATGCATGTAATCACCAGGTCTTCATCACAGCCTGCAGCAAAATTTTAAAAGGGCTTTAGAGAACACTAAATTAAGAGTTTTGGTGTGGCTCTATAAGGAAGAGCAGGCCAAGTCAGAGTCTTAGGTGTTTATTCTAAAAACTGTTAAAGAGGGGTTTAGCAAGGACCCTGCCACTGTGAGGGAGACCTGGACTATTCTTTTAGTTCCTACAGACAGACATTCCTTTAACAGAAAAGAACTGTCTCCTAGTTGGCTGCAGTGTTGGAGTGCCTGCATCCCTGGCATGGATCACAAACTACCACACTTCTGTATCCCCTATATAGAAAGAACTCTATGCAACGATATAAACTGTGTAAGCGACTTCAGAGCTGCCAGGAGTTCAGGTTATCACGCTCATGTTTAAGTGATAGAGAAGACAGCAACAAAACCACCACTCTGATTTGTCAAAACACTTCCTTCCATATATGCTTTCAATTGTAAATGTTTAACTGGAAGTATGTATACTCATTATCTGAACACAGTGACCTAAGTAAAAACAACCACTTTCAGTGTATGGTATCACCTACTGAACTACACTTACTGTTTTTAGAGCTCAACAGAGAGCAAATTCTTTGGTGGCTAAAATTTCTGCACTGATCTGCCCTAGGGTATGGTCCTAGCAGGGATGGGGGTGGGCATGGGTGCAAGAGCTTAAGCAACATTAGTAGTTTCTTTCTGCAGTACACTGTAGCTTCTAAAACTATAAGATAGAGAACTCAATTTTCTGTTTCACCAATGGAACCTATAAGACAAAAAAACAAGTGACAAAGAATGATAGAACAAACAGCACCTTGGCCACAACTGTGCAAACTCTTTGTAGAGCATGGATGGCCTGCTACAAACACATCACCATCTTTGAGGTGTGCACACAACGGATCCCCCATGTTTATATAGGTCAGGTTAAACTCAGCTCTGAACCCGTGGCCTCCCATATTTCACTTCACTTTATTTTCCAAACAGCTTTGTATTCACAAGAGCCAATCTGAGATGCTGTGACCCCAACATAACTGCTCATGCTTTTGTAAAAAAAAAACAAAAACAAAAAAACATTTTCACATATAGGCAAGCATTACAATTTTGGTAATCCAGCATAGTCATAACACACACTGGTATTTTGAATGTGTGTAGATAGAAAAGAAAAAGATTTAAGTCTCAGCAACAACCACTGCTGTCTAACTACACCCTTAACTATACCCTTGACTTAGCATTTGATTTTCCCAGTCTCTCATCTGATAATTACCCAGCTATCTGCTCAGCAGCACAGAGCAGCTTCTGTTGAGAACAACTTACCCATACAGACGATCTGCTTTGTTTCTGCTGTCCTGTTCTCTGCCATGGATGAAATGTGGGGATTGTTGTTTGTGGAGTCCATAGTGTTCTTTTGCTCCTATCGGAACACCTACTTCAAGAGTCCCTGATAACACAATGTCATTAGGACCTGATGCAAAGATTAAAAACATGTTCACTTCTATTTCTAATCTGCTTTTAGATATACTATCTTACTTTGCATGAAATTTTAACTTTTTTATTAACTGAAAATGTGCTTTTATACCACTTGAATTAGAAAATCCTGCCTGAATGTACTGTTAGGAAAGCACACGCGACTGTTTGCATCTGTCAGCACTCCTCCATTTGTACTGTCTCATTTTAAAGTGGCTACCAAACACTGTACTATATACCTGGTAATTTTTTTGATTCACTCGTAGCTTTAAATGTTTCCAGATGCCTTTAGTTTTAGCTGCTGTAAAATAGCTACTTTGTGTTATTTGATATAGAATTGTTTAAAACAAAAAAACTCCATTTATTTATACAGAGACATTTATAATATTTTACAAACATTCTTATATTCTGAATAAATATTTCTAATTCCATGCTGTGCTTTGTTTTAATTAAAGAGTAAGGACGTTCTGTAGAACTGTTTGCCTGTCATACATGTAAATATAAACCGAGGGGCTAACACTGAATCAGGCCGTACATCTAAGAGTATTTCAGCCAAAAGAACAACAAAACAAAAGTCTTATTTCTCACCAATTTTTATTTGGCTGCCTTTACAAATAGCATCAACAGAAGGTTCTCTATTAAACAATCTTTTAAAAGACTATAAAAACGGGGAAAAAAAGCATCAGAAAGTCAAATGTAAACTACAAGATAGATAGCAAGCAGTTTCATAGCATATCATTAGTGTTAAAACTGCAGCTTTTTGCTACACAAAAGTACTTTTGATAATATAGTTCTACAGCCGAGGACTCTAAAAGAGCAGAGACCCAGGGGACACCAGGGTGCTCTGCTGGTGAGCCGGGCTCTGGTCAAGTCTAAGAATCATTGCATTTTATATATCTGCTCTGTATCCCACTCATGACTATAGTCCTGCTTAAGAACCAAACTGCATTAAGCTAAAGGTGACAAACCCTCTGGTCCACTTTCATTTCTGAATGGATTCTACTTTTTATATTTCTATCAATGCAAACAGAACCTCTCACATTTATCCTATACATTCAAAACTTTTTTTTGTCCAGAGGGATGGTAGTAACACACTGTAATAACCAGTAAAAGTAATGACTTAAAACTATAGGAAGTGGTCAGTAACAGTGGTTTGTAGAACGAAGGGTACAAGAAGTAACCAGCATGGCCTAAGCAGCCAATTTTATGGATTACATTACATATGCATTACAACAGCCTGAATTAGACCAAAGTTAACACAGTATTTGACAGAAGGCAGTATGAGCAGCCTTCCGTCACTGTCAGTGCATTCTGTAACGAATGTTTTTAGCTTCTCAACTAGTGTGGACTACATCAAAACGCTTTTAGAAGTCACAGCACACTTAATGGTAAAAAAGACAGCACTGCCATTCTCAGTGGCACAGGTGTCAGCCCACATCTTGGGAAGTGCAGTGCTCCAGAATCACTTTCACAGACTGAGTCACTGGAAATCTATGAAGTCACACCAATGTAAATGAAAACCAGTTCCAATCACTTCACAGACATTGAAGTAGTGGTGGTGGGGGTAGGGGGTGCTGAATAAATCCATCTCTAAAAGTTGTCACACTACAGCAAACCCAACAGGCTATTTGGGGAGGGTTCATTTTGGTTTCCCTAAATATTTGACTAATAACCACAATAAAGCAAACTTTCATACTATCACAGACATAATCATGTAACGGGTTTACATTATCTTTCTCCAAGTATTGAAATATAAAACGTGGTTAGGCAAAGATTGTTTCTTCATTAATTGGGTTTGTCTTATATGAAATGAGCTAACATACAAAGTTTACAAATTATTCTAAAGCCTAAGTTTTTCATTGAACATTAAAATGAAGTAATTTCATCCAAGTTTATGTACTAACTGTACCAGCTTTGGTAGCTTCCGTGACTCAATATATATTGGTATTCCTTTTCCAGTCAAATGTACAAGCAGAGTGTTGGAAGACTACTCTGTCCAGGGACATCAGGTCTTCACAGCACAGCATAAGCCACTTTAAACCAAAGTTACGGTGCATAAAAATATACAACTTTTATTCACTTTTGCACCCAAACTAAACTGTATGCTTCATATTTGTCAGCTTTAAGACTATCCTTTTTTTTTTTTTTTTTTTTTTTTTGGACATAGGGTTTTTCTGTGTAGCCCTGGCTGTCCTGGAACTGACTCTGTGAACCTGGCTAGTGCACACCACCATGACTGGCCTGATTTAAGACTATCTTAATTAAGAGAATTATCACTTAAAATAGCTAAATACATGACTATTCATAAAGATTCATTACAGTTTCATTGAAGCCAACAGATTGAGTTATACGTAAGACTAGTAAGTTAATACTCATTTTTAAAACTACCATAAGATTTAAAACTCATGAGAAAATTTAAAAAATAGTTTTTAAAAATTACACCAAAGTTAAAGAGTTTTACTGTTCTTCCCTATTTGTTGACCTGAAAAAAATAATAATATTTATACAATGGGAGTTAGTCCTGTCCTAATCTGAAACATGTAAATTGAAAGGCTCATTCCCTTGGATACTTGCATTTGACACTTAATAGTTACCTGTGCAACATTTAAATACAACCCCAAATGAGCTACCCAGAGAGCAGTGAAATGCAGGCTCCTGCAGGACTCTGTCATGCTTTTCCAAGGCTCTGTGCATGCCATACACTGCTGCTCATGTTCCAGAAGTGTCACTGCATCTCACAAGCCATCCGCAGCTAGCAGATGCCACCCTCCAAAGCCCACAGCTGGCACCTATTTCATTTGTGCTTCCGCTGAATATTGCGAAAGCTGTGCTAATTTCTTAAAGCTTGAGAAATGGCTTAAAAATGTACAACGGTGCCCCAAATGTTTCACCTATCTAGAACTATTGTTTTAGACATTTGGGCCAAATAATTAAAAGCCAAAATGTTCTACCTTCTACTTTAAAAGTTCACGATCCTAAAAACTAAGTGCTAAGTGCTAGGAAATGCTGCCCAATTCATCCTAGAACTGCACCAAAGTGTTTTCCCTCACCAATTTCACAGCTATATACATTGATTTGAGAGCATAGCCCTTCTATGTACTTGAGACTCAAGAATTTAAATGTTATGGCAAATTCTCATGGTGTCAGATGCATTAGAGATATAGCACAAACAGAAAGACCGACGATTACTGAAACAAATGCTCAAAAAATGGCACTCAACTAACTAGCTAATAACACAACATCAACAAAACTATTCAACCCCTGTGACAAACATATACTAAGGGACTTACCTTCCTTTAAAGAACTTATGTCCATTAAGAAGAGCAAGTCACCTTTTGCCAGGAAACACAAGAGGAGACAGACGTGATTACAGGCCTGAAAGGAGCCTGCAACTGGAGAAGGACCTGCTGGTCTAAGACAATGAGTTACTGAACATGAAGGCCCAAGTACAGGAGAAAGGGAAAATAAAGCAGACTACAACACGGGACAAACAGTGCATGCAGCTGGGAGAAGACCAGGAGAAAGAAAAATCAGCCCACAAATCTCAGGAAGGCCACACTGCAATTGGGGAAGAGGAACAAGCAGCAGCTGCAGATATGACAGGGGGATCTGAGGACAGCAAAGAGTAAATAGCATGACGAACACGAAGAGGATGACAATAAAAATGGAGAAGGACACCTTCCATCAGCAAAACTTAGATACCAACCTAGCTCTGGGGACTTTTCTTCAACAAACAGTAGACGATCATGTGTTCAAGATGATTTTCTGGAACATGCCACAGGTGAGTGAGCTGCTGGTCTAGGACACCTGGTTACAGGACAGGAACCCCCGAGTATAGCAGAAAGGGTCCAATGAAGAGACAATACTAGGCAGCCTTGTTACTAAACAAGGCATGTGAATTTGTGATCTCAGAAACCCCAGGCCACACATCCAGATATATTTGCATCTATGTCAGACTCATACTGGTGTTCTCAAGACCTTCAGTGGCTCCAGATACTTGAAAAAAGATTAGTCCATAAAAAATATGGACTATCTATATGGTTGGATAAGTAAATAGACAGCAGAAGATAGGAAGACAGAAAACAAATACTACATAGATGATAGATAGAAAAATATAAATGACAGAGCATATAAAGATACATAAGTAGAAAAACAGAAATATGACAGTTGACTGATTGAGAGATAAATGACATATGGTAGGTATATAGATATAGATGAGAGGTGACAGATGATAAAGAGAAGTTAAACAGATAAACAGAAAGGTAGATGAATGGGTGAGTGGGCTGATGGGTGATGGTGGTTGACTGGGCAGTTGTGAGGCCAAGATGTGGCCCAGGCACCACATTAGAGTCATGAAGCAGAGACAGGCAGCAGACACGAAGAAATCACAAGGCCAACAGACCTTCCACACCCAGGCTGCCAGGCCAGCAAGAAGAGTGTGGTCCCAGAGGTTTCCTCCTGAAAACAGCCTCCCAGTGGCCTTTGCTCACGAACTGCCTTAGAGAGCTCCCTGGATGACCCTCTCGGGTAGGTGGCAGCAACAAGACCCTGCCTAAGAGACTTGCCCTGCTCATAGCCGAGGCACTCAGATTTAAACAAGGATGCAATCTACACAACCATTTCTTAGGATTTTACTGGACCAGACACATCCACTCTCCCCTCAATGAAAATGAACCAGAAGTGCCCAGGTATCCCAGCAGGTTTTCCTGGGATCCCCTCTGCCTGCTCTCTATACCCATGTGCCATGTCCACCCACCTGTGAAAGCCTAGACTGCATGGGGAGAAAAGCATGGTTTTTCAGAGGAACTATCACAGCTTACATTTTCCCACCTGAACCCACTACCCATGGACTGTTGAGGGATGAACATTTTCGCTTCAGAAATAAAGATGAGGACTAAGACCTTAAAAAGAGGAGGAGGAGGAGGTGGAGGAGGAGGAGGAGGAGGAGGAGGAGGAGGAGCAGCAGCAGCAGCAGCAGCAGCAACAGCAAGTCATACCCTGAACCTGATTCCTGTACTTTCTTTCCCCAGAGACCCCTTGACTAACACTGCCTAACTACTAGCATCTGAAGTAAATACCTTTTAGACTGTGCATTCAGGCAGCTACACAGACAGAACCCAACTCTCTGCTACACTAAGACCCAAGATAAACGTAATCTCTCTTTTGTTCATTTCAAATTAGATATTACAGTGTAAACACTTCTCAAAATAAAGTCTCTGAGCTTTACCACAAAATATAAAGACATAACCAGGGGACACTGAAACAAACAAACCCCTATCAGAACTATGTTACTCTATTCAGTTCTATGCAGGAGGCTAGGCCCAGGCCTCAGTTTTCACTAGCTACCTCAGTGACAAATGATGTTTGTCACAAGGAAACTGCTGCCCGCACATGCACACATGACTATGCCACACATTGGGCTATCTTGTTATCAACAGCAGGATGGTTAAGAGCACGGGCTGTTCCGGCAGAGGAGCCATGTTCCATCTCTAACACTGTAACTCTAGTTCCAGGGGGAATCATCTGACACTCTTTTCTGGCCTCCTTGGACATCAGGCACACATGTGGCACACATACAAATAGAATGGCAAAACATCCATTAGAAAGAAATTAAAGTCATAAAAAAAAAGAGAGGTAAACAAAACCCAGAGGGCCTGGCGCTCAGCAGAACCCACACAGAAAGGGCCCAAATGCTGGTGATTAAAGTGGGAAGAATTACACGAGAATCAATGGATTGCGTGGCCATCATACTTAGCCAACACTTCGCTAAGGAGTGGAAAATGCCTGGCAAGGACTGTACTTTTCGATTCTGCTAAGGCTGGGCGCCAGCCACGGATCTCACCTGGAGAGTGCAAGTGCTAGAATGCACTAGTTTCTCCCCACACTCTGCCAGCAGCTACTGACTACAGCGGCTACTGACTAGCTGCTCTTTTCAAGAAAACTTCCCAACACACCTGGCAATGGCAATCTACTTAGCACAAATCTCATATTGCCAATCTCAATCTGGCCCCTCTGACACAGGCCTCAAGAATAACAATTCTATGTAGAGAGACAAAGTTGTGGAGAAGGACTACGATAAGCCCATTTCTAGGCATTTAAGAAATGATACAAACGTATTCTAAAGTGTCATGACACCAGGGATGAGCTATTCTAGCCCAGCTTTGCCAAGCTGTAATGAGTAACACTACACCCATAAAGGTGAAGAATACCTTTAGACACAATAGTGGTGCCCTTTGATGATGGTCAACTCATGTTATGACATATTTGAACCTCTTTCCTCAGGCTACACAAGAATCCAACTCAAAACCAGGAGGAAGAAGCATTAATAAATACAACCACAAATAATAATACAAAGAAAATACTGCCTCAGAGAACACAGACAAAACAGCTGTCATTAAAATCTCCAAGCAGGTACACACAAGTACAGAGAAGGCCAGGAGGCATTATGGGAAGAAAACCTGCTCAGCAAATCATCATTTCTAGGTCTCCCTCTTTCCTTATTAGAGAAACAGAACTGGTGAGGGTTTTGGTAATGAAATGTTTTAATGAATACAGGTACCAATCCTTAACATTTTTAGAAAACATAGTATTTTATAAAGGAATTTGATTCTGATAGTCATTCTCTTAGAGTTGTTTATTGACATGACATGTAAATTATTAAAACTTCCAAAAGAAGAAGTATATCCAAGTCTTACAGCACAGTATTAATCTGCGCTATAGCTCCATTATCTGTATCTAATATAAAAATAACGATATTCAAAGGTCAAAACAGCAAGCAGTGACCACAATTTTTCTGACAGTTCTGGGAGACTATCTTTCATATACTGGTACAAAGGTCTACTTAGATCTTTTAACATATTTAATCAGTTTCACCCAAGCTATCAGATCCACTGGGTTTTGCCAGCCCCTCCCAATGCTCATGTCTCAAAACAGAACCACTGTTTGAAATCCTTGAATCATTCATTCACTATTTCTTAACAGAAACTTATAGAAAAGTATGTAAACTGTATCCTTTGTCTCTTGGAGAACAATGGTTAAGGACAAAGTCATTTAACATTCTTCAAACTGCTGAAGTTACACATAAGAGCACCTACCAACTCAGATTTAAAAAGATTCACAGTGCACTGCATCCTGGAACACATGCGGCTGGAGGCGAAGGACATTTAAAAAGTGATTTCAAAGTCCTACCCCTCACACACAAAAATAATAAGGCCGATGTATCTACTGTTCCATCTAGCGTCTTTAAACACAGCACTACACAGAAGTACATTATTGCATATTCAGCACCCTCATTACCAGAGTCCATGAAGAAATGCTAACACAGCTCAGTGAAGAAATCCAGCCCTGTGCTAAACATGATCTCTCAGATAACCTGAACAGTGAAGGAGTAAGTACAGCGGATGAACATTAACAAGGTACACCAACTTAATATTTTCTGCATAGGTGAGTCACATGCACACACACCTTCATTCCTCTTTCAGCATGCTTTTGACTTCAGACTGCTGAAAGCTAAAACCCGAAGTTATCATAATTGCATCCCAACCACACTCATTTTGTTCCACAGTGCATTAAATAAAGCAGCACATCAACGGTCGGTTCTTACAGTTGACCTCTTTACAGGTCCCATATTCTGGTAACTAATTGCTTTTGCTTTAATACTACTGAGAGCTGAAAAACTCCAACCTCTACAAGAACCAGAGAGACCAACTAAAGTACTCATTTAAGAAAAAGAATTTCTCTCTCTCTCTCTCTCTCTCACACACACACACACACACACACACACACACACACACACACACACTTAAATGTTTTCCAGATGAGTGAAAATGATGCATTGCCAAGCAAACTTCAGTTTTCACTCCTTTAACCATTTAACAGAAATCTGGAATGCTGGGACCAAATATAAATATGGCTCAAAAAGACCCAAGCAAAGCAGCTGTGTTTCTGAGGAGAATAATAACGGCTTCCAAACACAATCAGATAATGCACTAAAAGCAAAGGTCATAGAAGGGTTCACAAAGTAGTCGAATAAAAGATTCTGAACACACTGTTATTGTGAAGTCTCCTGCTCAGCACCGAGTGACATGTTCATTAATAAATAGAACTTCTTCTTTAAAATCAGCCATTTAAAAGCTAAAGTAGCAATACCAAGTAAATTCCTTACAATAATAGCCCTTCTCTTAAAGGTTCCATGGGGTTAAGTAGAACCCCAGTTAAATAGGCTGCATATACAGAATAAAGATTTCTATAGTAATATTTATAAGCAGGAATATACTTTGTGGATACCACTTGTAAAAAACAACTCTTAAAAACCCACATGACAGATGCACGTGCAGACATGCACAAACAGCCCCCCCCCACCCCCCGGAAATATTCTCAGTGAGGTCAGATGCAGCCAAAATTGTATTGCCTCCTTAAAGCTCTGGTGATTGTCCTCCATTAGAGATGACCCTTTGTAAAGCAGGCACTGTCATTCTTGTTTGGATTTAAGAATCCTAGAGGCCCGAAATACATTCCTAGATGTGAGCTAAGTACGTTACTCCAAGGGTCCCCCAGTGAAATGACATGCTGGGGTAAATTGCATAACCCCTTCTTCCTTACTTTGTAACCCAGGGGCTTCAGGATATTAATAAAAGGCATGTCACTCTGCTATTACTGCAAACAGGAACCTAATATTAACATCAGCTTCCACAGATCAACACTGAGATGCAATATAAAACTAAGTATGTAGTTTTCCAAACATACACACTATAATATGTATACATGTTTCACATGAGTATAATCATTGCACAATACTGAATTGTGGAGTTGGAGGCAGGATGGTCAAGGCATGACCCAAACAACTGCCAGCTCCTGGCTTCCATGTTCTCTGCTCCAGCACTACAAGTTTTCCAACAGCAAACGTCATAATTCAAAATTACGTCATCAGCTCCCCACTGACTGCATCTCTCTCCAGGCTGTGGGCTTCTTCTTGATGAAGTGCTCAGGAGTTTGCTTTGCAACTGAGTATTGTTTTGAAGATGAGGTACTAAACAAATTGACAAAACTCCAACTAGAAGGATTCGATTCTCAGTGGTTAGAAGCAGAGAAATGAGCAAAACGCCTGCAATCTTGATGTCACGGTTCAGCTTTTATGCTCATTAGTAATTGGGGTTTTAAGTTTCTTTTTAAATTCTCAATAAGCAAACTTTTTGCAATCACTAAGATGGGAAGATAAAATACTATTAACTTGGCTACTTGTTGATGATTCCATCAAAACAACTCTTTTCTTGATCAGAATAAAAAAATAAGACCCACAGTCACGCAAAATAAATGCCCTCAAAAAAGGAAAAGACAAAAAAAAAAAAAACAAAACAAACAAAAAAAAAAAACAAAAAACACAGGCAAATAAAACTTGGGTTCCAAACACTGAAACGGTAAATCCATATAAAAAGTTTAACTGAATTTACAGTGCAAACTTGTGTTTCTTTCTAGTTTCTCTTCTGTACAAAAAAAATCTCTTTAGAAACATTGCCTCCCTGCATTTCTTTCAAATACCTGAGAAAGGTAAGGCTTGAGGAGACACCCACTCAAATGCAACAGGTCTCTGATCATGGGACTTCTGCAATACACTAGCTGTTATCAAAGGTCCAAGATTTTCATGATGGCATTTTGGTCAAACTTGAAACTCAAAAAGGTTCTAGATGAAAATGGGAACTTGCAATGTCCGTTACATGCCACAGAGTGTCCCTCAGCATGTTCTGCCAATGGGTCTTCACCAGAACATGGCAAGTCATATACGGCATCTGCTTAGGAAACAAAATCAGTAGTCAGTGACTCAGAAGAAAGTTTACCAGACACTGCCCTTCCACTACTCAGAGGGAATCCAGGTGGGCTGCATATTTACCTTTCTATAATCTGACTCAGTCCTAAGCACCTTGGTCAGTATTCATTGGAATCTCTTATCTATTGCTGGTTTTTTCTTTATTTCTATTAATTCAGATTTTTAGCTGGCCTTTTAAGACCCTTGATATCACTCTCAAAATTGGCATATTTTTAGCTTATGTATTTATGCTCAACAGGTTAGTATGAAAATTACAATTATAATTATTTAAAAAACTGTAAAGATTATATGTTTAACAAAATATAGTTGAAGTTACCAAGTCTCAATGGATCAAAACAGAAAACCTCAAAAGCTCTTGATTGTTTTCAGTCTTAACAATGACTTTTGGATACAAGACCAAAAGCCAAAAGAAATATGAAACACATCAATTTAAATGCCAATGGTTACAAGATGAGCTTTCCACAGTAAAGTTAGGGCATCTTTGCTCATTTTTAACCTGTGCATACACATCTATGTGACAGCACGAGCACAGGCATGTTATGGGGCATGGAGGCACACTCAGAGGTCAGACGGCAAGCCGAGGCACCAGTCCATGCCTTCCACCGTGCAGTGGGGCCTGTTTGCTTCTGCAATGGCCATGGCCAGGCTAACTGCCTACACTTCTGGGAGTCCTGCCACTATTTCCCAGGTGCCACAGAGGCACTGGGATTACTCGTGTGCACTACCACGTACACGTACGTTTTAAGGGTCAGAACTCAGGTCCATCTACCCACTAAGCTATATGTTCCCAGACACAGAACATCTCTTTTAAGACAGCTTTTGCTTTCATCTTTTTAGTGATTGGTTAAGTCACGTTTCTAAAAAGTCAACTAAGGGGTCTGCACTATTACTTCAAGCTCTGCTCCTGGAGATGGAGGGGATTAGCTTAACCATTTCAGGATTGTTCCATCAATGATGAGTCATTGGTGGATTCATATCTGAAAACTGTTTAAATGATTAAAAAATAAATAAAATAATGCTCTTCATTTCTTTTTCTTTTTTCAGTCTCTTTGAGACAGGGTTTCTCTATGTAGCCTTGGCTGTTCTGGAATCCGTTCTGTAGATCAGGCTGGCCTCAAACTCAGAGAACCACCTGTCTCTGTCTCCCAAGTGCTGGGATTAAAGGTGTGTGCCAACACCACCCAGCACTCTTCATTTCTTAGGAGTTTTCTATTTCGATGAATATGTAACCATGGCACAAGAAAATTTCATACATTCAAAGTAGCACCTAAGATAAACAGTGTAATGTAACTTTCAAGTGACACATTAATCAAACGTGAGTGGCACTAAAATAACTTTTTATATTCGTTATGATTAGTTTTTCTGGTGGTCTGCATGAGAATAACATCCACAGGCTGACATATTTGCATGCTTAGTCTCCAGATGAAGAACTGTTCAGAAGGATTAGGAGGTGTGGCATCATGGAAGGAAGTGAGTTAGTGGGGATGGGTTTTGAGGTTTCCAAAATCTACTCCAGGCCCAATTCTCTATTTGGCTGCTGTCTGTGGATCAGGATGTAAAGTTCTTAGCCACTTCTCCAGCACCCTGCCTGCCTACCTGCCAGGTACCGTAATGATAATGGACTAATAAGCCTTTCAAACAGTAAGCAAGCCCCCAATTAAATGCTTTCTTTGTAAGAGCTGCTTTTGTCATGGTGTCTTCACAGCAACAGAGCAGTGACTAAGACAGTATCTGAACCAGACACACTACACTCCATAATTGAGGAAGGAGAAATGGCATTATTTAATCAATGGCTATGCTTAGGAGCATGTTAAACAGTTGACCCATTACTGACAAGAGGAGAATGAGAGTGAGGCATCCTCATTACATTTCCCACTCTCCTAGCCCATAAGCCAGTGCTGACAGATACTTACAAAAGAAAGTGCATTCAATAGCTAGTAATGTTACCTCGATCACTTTTAGTGACTCCTTCTAGTCAGTTTCTATTGAGAGACTCTCACGCGTGAAATCTCTGAAGCACATAGGCAGCTATTCCTACGTAACTCTCATCACCACAAAGCCCACTGATGTCACAGCTGGTAAAACGAAACCCAGCCCCACAGGCAGATTTTCAAAAAAGAAAATAGCTTGCCTGTCTCAAAGTTGTCCTGAAGTTTTCGTGGATGCAGCTTCTTTTCACATTTCTATTAAAAACAGAAACATGCACAGCACAGTCTTGTTATTTTTACTTATTAAAACTCAAGAGAAACATGATCAAACATCTCAAGAGGAAAATTAACCAGGAATCTAATCATCCCCAGTAGGTTTTCTCAGAGTCCTCCTTTAAAGAACCTGGAGAACATATCCCTACATCAGTACATATGGGGACCAGAAGCAACGGCTGTGAACACTGCACTGTGCAGCTTTCCACCCCAACTGTTGTACATCCTCTCCCGTGGTCCCAGCGCTATGAAGCACACGCAGGCCTGCCACATGCAAGGCGCACACAGCCCTGCAGAACTAATCTTCACAGTCTAACTGCATGTGAGCACCATTCCTTCAAGGGCAGACTTCCACCGTTGCTTCTACGACTCGGCGTAATCTAAAGACCCACAATGTGCACCTGATATCAACTGCCTGGATATTTACATCTTTTTTCCTGTTCTCATAACAGAGAGTAAAGGAAGGAATTTTTACGTTTACATTCTCCCTTTCCATTCTCCTTCTCGAAACCAAGCAACTGTCCAGGTTTCTGACATAAAAAAAATCTCTGTGAGAAACAAGTACCAAATTTTATGCTTTGTTAATATACTCAGTAATACACAATTCAGCATTCCAACTCTTCACTCTGCCTGTCTGATGTTGTTTGATTTATAAGACAACATCTTAGTTGCAGGCTGGCCTTGAACTTGAACTCCTAGTCTTTGATTTGCATGACTGACCACTTTTTCACAGGCCCAGTCATTTCCAGCTCTCTGTTTTGTATTTACCACTGTTTTTCCCCTAAAGACTTTAAATGTTTAAAAACTTTATTATTAGCCCCACCTCCCAAAAAAATCCCACCACACCATCCAACAAAATTAACTAGACTATATAACTGGATGACTCTTGTACAATGAGGGCAGCCACTCAAGAGGCTGTGGAGCTCAATGCTGGGTTTTCAGCATCTTTCACTACGGAATATATTTTTATGTACCTAGTTACCACCAAACCCCCACTTTTTATCTATTCCATTAGCTGTACCCAGTTCTTCCTCACCCTCTAGAACTTCTACAGTATCACATAGAAAAGAGGACAAGAAAGGTTGAATAGCAGGAGACAGAAGCTTTTTTTTTTTTTTAAGCTTTTAAAAGAACCTTTTTTAATATGTGCATTACAGGAAGCAAAACACAAGAATCCAAGAGCTAAGTCACCCGGTCACAAGCAGCTCAGCTCAGTGTGTCGTCCTAGATCCTACAAGCGTACATACACTTAGGTAATTAAGATTACACAGGATGTACCATGCTTTCCCTCACACCGTGAATGTTAACCAACTAAAAACCCCATGCTACACGAGCATTTTGATAACCAAGAATACACCATGCCAACTCAATCTGTCAGACAAAATTGTAATCCTGGCTTCCTTGGCTACAAAAAAGTCACAGGCGACAAAAATGGCAGCAGGCCTTTAGATAGATGTACTGGCGAGGTTACAATTCAATTCTGCATTCCCTCAGTGCTCAGCTTACAAGAAAACAAAGCAACAGACCACACTAAGTTCAGCATTCCTGGTTCATCATCAGATCTATATATTAACATATGAGGAAGAGGCGTCCCCTCATCAATACATGTATTCCTATGGAGCAGCTGAAGACCTATGGCGGGGGCTCTCAGGATGCCAGTCTCAACACAGCAGTGCAGCTCTCGCCCGTGAGCCTGCCCTCCAGTCAGTCTAGTAACATGAGTTAATTCACACTCTCCAGACATGGCTTAACAATTCTGTGTTCAAGAGGAACCTTTTCTGTCAATTCTACCATATATTTAACCATGTGCTCTCCTTTAGGATACTTACAATAAACACAAGTATTTTACCAGAAATGCACATATGGACCTCTAGGTTCAGCTGCAAACCAGTCCTATGGATGTGATAAGAGGATTAACAAAGGCCATGCCTAGAAGACAGCCTGCCCAAAAGGCTAGCAGGGTATTTAGAGTGTTTTGCTACTTCTGACATCCTTTGGTCCCTGGGACCTACCCTCTAATACCTGGCAACATTAGCTGAAATGCAAACCTAAGCAATGGCTAGCGGACCTGGCCAACAGGAACTGCGCCTTTTTCTGAGCACTGTTCTCTCCCCTGCCCCCCACCCAACAGCATCTGCTCAAAGACCAAGTTCCCCAGTGTGACCATTCCTATGAAATAACAAAACTACTTAAAGGTGATGTACATGTACGAACTAGTGCATGTGAGCACGTGTGCCACTGCATCCATGTGAATCAGTTTTCTCCTATCATGTGGATCCTGGAGCTCAAACCCAGATCACCAGCTTGGTGGCACACACCTTTACTGAGCCACCCTACCAGTCCATTCTGCATTTTCTCACTGCTTTGAGACAGAGCCTATGTAGCCCTGGCTGGCCTGGCACTCTGATCCACCTTCCTCAGCCTAGAACTAAAGCCATACATTACAAAAGTCTATCATGTACTTAAAAGTGTAAGGACTACATGCTTCCAACAAGCACTCCATTTCCCCAGTATCTGTACGGAGCAGTGAAGGGGAAGGCAGTCACCGCTCTAGCCTCGGATCCATTCTGAGACTTCACAGTAGTGCTGGGAGTCCCCAGCAGATCAACACTGGGCAGTGGATCAGATCTTTCAAGGAGTCACAGCAGGAGTCACTGATGTGTCACTCGTCATTCCCTATGGGCCTCAAAAAGGCTTACCTCGACAAGTCAGGAGGGCATTTCCTTAATTAGTGACTAATGGGAGGGCACAGGCCACTGTGTCTAGGGCTGCCTCTGGGCTGGTAGAGGAGTACCCATATAACTTACAAACCTGTAGTTAAGAATGGTAGTTCATGAAGACAACAGCGCAAAATTAAATTTTATTAAAATCCTACCACTAAAAAGCAATCAAATCAAAGAAAGAAGCAAGCAGAGCTCTTACCATCAAGGGACTCTGCTGCTTCGCTGGCTGACTGTGAACTCCGTTCACTCTCTTCTTCTGATTAGGTGAGTCTTGATACTGTTTTCTGCCATTCCCTCTTGTATTTTGATTCTGTTTTTCCAACAGAAAGAACATGTAGATTTACAGTATCACCACACAAGTATACCTCTTTGAATGCTTATCTCGATTGAACAGAGTTCATAAAGCACCATCTAAATGTCCATACAGTGCTGTAACAATTTATTTTCTTGGATTACTTTGCAAAGGAACATCTCTGTGAAATAGGAAATAGCAAATACATCTTTCTCTAGGTCCTTTCTACACATCTTGCTTTATCCCATGTTTTTTAAAAACTGTTTATAACACAAAAACATGGCAGGGAACAGCTCGGTGGTAAAGCTCACACAGAGCATAAGGGTCCAGAGTCAACTCAGCATGAAGACACATGGAATAGGATGTGAGTGGAAGGCACAACAGGACTGAGAGAGGCCGAGCTGGGAAGAAAGGCCAGAGCACACATGCCAGCCTTCCTTTCTCCTTCTAGCTTATTTTACATCATGCATGTGTATGGGACTGTGCATCTAGGTGGGTGATGGTCAGAAAACATCACTGCAGACTCAGTTTTCTCCTTTCACCTTTACATGGTTTCAGGCTAGTGTGTGAGTGTTTACATACAAAGCCACCTTGCTAGCCCCCACAACTTTTAATAGTATAAACAGTTGGCACGAGCAGTTAAATTATAATAAGCAAGTAAGTGTCACTGAGAGAATAATATTCTACAACATAATGAAGATTGGTATTTTGAAAATTGGGCTTTTTTGGTCTTAAGTTTAGACACAATTTTTTTCAAACATCAATTTCTGCTTCAAAATTTGAAAAACAGCTATTTGAAAAACAAGAGAACTGTGAATAATGAATGTAACTATTACTTTAAAAAATTTATCTCCATCTACCTACTTACTTACAAAAAAAAACCTTAGGTTGTTGCTGAAATAACTGGCAAAGAACAACCTAATTGCAATGGACAGTGAATATCCACTTCATTTTTCTCTTGGCAGTATTTCCTTCCCTGTACCATTCTTTTCTGTGTAACTTGGTGGCATCAGATGAGATGTTTGTTAACACCAGCAATAATTTGTCCTCCACTAGAGGCTTTTCTGTTGTTGTTTTTCTCTTGTGTAGCACTGAGATCAAAGACCGTGTGCACATGAGGGAAGCCCTGTGTTACCAGACCCTAGCACACTTTCCAATCATTTTAATTCTTCAATACAGAAATTCTGGTCCAAACAAAAGTTAACTACTTAAGAGGTCTGCTATTTCCAGCCATAATCGCTACTTAGCACCTTGTGTGGCTGTGAATTTGCCTATGTAGGCATATAACAGAACCACACAATTTTTGTCCCGTTGGTCCTGCCTTATTTCACTTAGCCAGTGTCTTCAAGGACCATCTATATTGTAGATGTCTCAGAATTTATTCATTAAAGGCTGAAACAGTACTGCAATGTGTTATGAATGATGCTGTGATTAACACTAGCATAAAATTATCTATTAAAGCCCTGTATTTGGTTCATTTGTTTATATATGTAGGGGCAGGGTTGCTGAGTCATGTGATAAATGGGCATTTAAATTGTGGGAAACCACCACGCCATTTCATGACAGCTGTCCCTTTTTACACTTTCAAGAGCATGGTACAAAGGTCCCTGTTCTCTGTACTCTCAACAACAATGGTGATTTTTCTGTTCTGGTTTTATTAACAAATCCATCCTGAGACAATAACTGATCTCCATTTCCCCAAGCATAAATCTTGATCAGTCTTTTCTATAATTAACAGGCACTTGAATTTTCTACAGAAAAGGAAGGGCCTGGTCAAGTGTTTTAGAACAGGGTTGGATCTTATAGAACTTTTTGGTGGCTATTTTTCCTCAGGTAACACTCTAGAAATGCAGAATAGATAAACTGTGGTATAATCACATACTATATAATATAACAGTGAAAACAAGTTATAATATGCTGCTACTTTTTTCCATTAATCTTGGCCCAGAGACTGTCTTCTTTAAAGCCTTTCACTGGCGGCATACATAAAAAGGCTCAAGTGGCACATCCCTATATTTACTACATTGGATTTACTCCAAGGCTATGAAGGATAATGAGTATCAGGCCTCTTCAAGCTGGGACCATGGGTGACAAACAATTCAGAGGGCCACTAACTGCTACACACAATTCCTCAGCTGAAAATGATTTCAAAGCCAGATGATCAAAGCCTTAGAAAAAATAATTTCAGAGTGATTCATTCACCTTTGCCTTGAAAGGGTCTGACACTTCCATGTGGTTGCTATGAGGCTTCTGTTGCAGTGGCTGCCTGTGCTTTACCCACTGGTCACCAGGAGAACCTTCAGGAAACAGCTGCTGGCTGTGGCGGAATTTAGTTCGGCTACACCAAGATTAAAAAATAAGATAAGAAGACTTTTACTAGCAGTTTTTTGAAAGCCTTGATAGATAGTTTAACTACAAACTGTATATTTTACTTTCTATTATCTTCCCTTTTCCCTTGATAATCTTAAGTTATAAAGGCAGAAAATAAAGGTTTTTTTCAAGTAAGGTATCTCTGTGTAGCCCTGGCTATCTTGGAACTTGTTCTGTAGACCAAGCTATCATTAAACTCAGATTCACTGGCCTCAGCCTTCTTAATGCTGGGATTAAAGTCATGCACTATTATGTCCAGCTTAAAGCAGAAATTCTGATCAGCTTTGCCAACTATGTTATCCCCACCTTTTAAACAAGTGGCTGGCATTAATATTTCTTATACTAATAATCTACCATTTTATCCTAGCTTTTCTGAATTATTTACACAACCCTCTCCCTGTATATAACTATATATTTAAATCTAAAGACAGTTCTTTTCACATTTAGTTGAAGCAAAGTAATGTATATAGACTTTTCTTTGTAATAGGATACAAAACACACTCCTTCTAGATGTCACAGTAAGGGATATGATTTAAAAGGTTGGTTATAGGCCCAATCAGTGTTAGATGAGAGCTGAGAAATTATGTTACTTTGTAGAGCTCCTTAAACCATGGAGACTTAAAGTACTTCACTGGTAACGACTTCTGAATATGCAAAACCAGGTTCATTCAAAGCACAAGCACCTCTCCCTACTAATAAGAACAGAAACCTGAAGACTGAAAGTCAGGGTAACCATACCACAGACTGGGGAGATGTTCCCAGTGAGCAACACTGTCTCCATTAGTTGACTTCTGGGTAATATCTGCTTTTATCCTTTTAGCTACACTGTTGTCTTCCTGACTATTCTTAGACTGTTTTTCTTATTTCTAGTAGCAGTGCTTTGGTAATAATAGAGATTTTGAAAGACAGAAAACTGGATCATTTGATCCAATTTCTTTTTCCCACAAAACCAATAAAAATGAAATAGTATTTATTTAGAATATATTAACCATAAATGTGGTCTTCTTGTATTTTTTTTAAATTAAATTCCTAGTTAAAAGATTACCAAATCAGTAAAATAAATGAGTAAATAAATCTAAAACAAACAAACAAAAAACCCAAACTCACAACTCTGACAAAAAAGTCATAGTAAGCTGCTAATAAAAGCATAAACTGAGGTCGGTGAGAAGGGGCGGGTAAAGGTCGCCAAGGCTCATTATTACTGAGTTTGATCCCAGGAAGCCACATGAAGAGAATCATTTGCAAGTTTGTCTGTGACTACCCTTCCCACCATTATGCACACATCCATACACTTACACAAAATAAACAATTTAAAAATTATATATTATATGTATTTAACAAAGTTACTTCCCAAGTCTGTACTAAGTTCTAACCAAGTAAATGTCTACACACATGTAATTAATAGTCCTTCTTCACATCTCAGCTGACAGCAAGCCAGGGAGATAGATATCTTAGCCTAGTTGGTAAAGTGTGTGCTATACAAACATGTGAACCTGAGCTGGCGTCCCAGAACCCATGTAAAAAGGCCAAGGGTGATGACGTGTGTTTGTAATCCCACAGCTGGGGAGGCAAAGCTGGCATATCCTTGGGAACTCCAGGCCAGTGAGAGGCAATATATAAAAACACAAAACTGAATGACACTGGAGGCTGACCTCTGACCCCATCATGTGGCCACACACATACACATTCACATGCATACATTTTGTAAAGCTGTCTTATCTGTCATTGACTTTCACAAATTATTCATTAGCATATCCCGCCTCTTGCGCAAAGAGACCTCAATAAACCCCACTCAACTACCTCTAAGAACTAAATCATCACTAACATAGGGTATTAGATACTTAACACACCCTGGCCCCGCTTTTCCTAGGGTTTTAAGCCGTTCATATCTTTTCCAGCATACCATTTAATATGTTCCCTGAAGCATCTTTCTCCACTAACACCTTTCATCTCATCTGAAGCTTCTAAAGATGATCTTATAACATGAAACCAGGGATTCACCAGAGTGTCTAAGAAGGAATCTTACACCTCCCTGTCTCAAAAATCAAGATGGTGCTGTACTAAAAATCTCCAGAAAACACAATCTCATGAGCTCATTTCCTTACCTCAATTTTTCCACTGTGGGTTTAGCTGGTGTGCTACTAGATGAGGAAAAACCATTGTCACTGTCTGAGGAATCTCCAAATCTTCGAGACAGCCAGTCCCTTAGTGGTCTATGGAAACATTAACAATTCATTAAACAAAAAAACCTAAAATAGCAGCATCGATGCCAGTTTTAAAGTTTAAGAAATGAACATACCTGATAAAGGGAATGGCCATGAAAAACTTATTAGGTGCCAAGCCAAGCTTGGACTTAGGAGTCATATCATTTCTATGACAGGGCAATTTCTCAATGGAGAACCATTCAATATTCTGAAATAAAACAACTGCATTTAGTTTACAATCAAAGAGTAGCTAAAACAAACTCTCCAGCAACCTATAAATATTCTCAACTTTTACATACCTTAATTTCTCTTCTAGTTTTGGGATTAAATTTTGTGTCTTTTGGAACTCCTGGAATGATGTACAAGCGAGCGAGCTGATCATTGATTCGAAGTTCAATGTAGTCATCCTTACAAATATAGTCTTTTATATCAAAACCAGTTTCCTCAAAGACCTGGAAATAAATGTTGATAAAATGTTTAATCATTATAAGCTGAGACAAAGGATCATGAGTTCAAAACCAGGCTGTTACATAGCTGAGACCCTATGTCAAAACAAAACCAAGACATCAGCCTAAATCCAATCTGTAGCTAGAAAATGAGGTGCAAGCCCCTCCTTATGTTAATATAAGTAAAAATTAAACAAATCAGAGGGATAAACTACAGGCAAAGAATGGATAATAACGTTGTACCAACCAGACTGGATTGCTTGTCTGCTTTTGTCTTGTTCCTCCCCACCCCCACTGGAGCGGATGGCTGAACCCAGGTCTCTTTCTCTCTTTCTCTTTCTCTCTTTCTCTCTCTCTTTCTCTCTCTCTCTCTCTCTCTCTCTCTCTCTCTCTCTGTCTGCTTTTGGACAGAGTTGTTTCTATTGGACTGCAGTGCCACCAAGTGGCAGAAAGAGTGACTGCGACTCTAGGACTCAGTGAAATGTACTCAAAGAGGCAATTGCACAAACTCAACCTTTTATCTTGTTTAAGAAAAGACCCTAACAGCTCTCTGGACAGGTACCCGAACACACCCAGAAAAGCCCACCTGGATGGACACACAGCTGGAGGCTGGATTCCTACAAACCAGGAAGAGAGCCTGCAATGAAACTCAATGAGTTGGAGCCCTAACTTTGGATCTCTAGTCTCCAGATCTTCTGCTAAGTAATAAATTCCTGTGGTCCAAGTTACCCAGTCAGCTATATTTTAAGTCAGCTCTGGCAAACTGAACAGTAGCATTCCAGCTAAGTCCCCAAACTTTACCTCTCTCTGACAGAGGCAATCATTCAGAAATCAGTAATAAAAAAATCAAGGTTTGCCTTTTAAAAATCCACTGAAGGGAATGCCACTCGCCCAAGGAGCCATTATGTGGATTTAGGCCAATGGCCCGCTCTTTAAGGCCCCATAACCATGACCGTCAGTTACAGGGTGCGCAGCAGATGTTGTATTTAGAGAAGCCAAGTCCAAGGTGGGACAGCAATGTTTGCAGGAAAAAAGAGCTCAAAGCCAAGAAAGCTAGAGCACTGATGCGGAGGAGACCCAGGAGAAGACGAGACCATTGTCTTCTATCTTCACAGAGACGAACTTCCAGATAACCCCTTGGCCTATGTGTGTGACATCAGGCTACACGTCCACAGAAAGTAATGAATAAATGGACAGAAGGTGGAAGGCCTGTTTTGCTGGAAAGACCGTGGGGAACCGCAGGCCTCAGCAAGGATCAGGTTGTTAGTATGAAAAGCATTAAATTTTCTCTCTATGCGGCAGGAGGTCCTTCTCATTTTGAGGCAGCAAGCCTTGTTTTCTCTTTACTTAGTACTTATCAAAGTGGCATCTTTTGGTCTGTCTTCCTTTCCGGTATCTTCACACAAACAATAAGTGTCAATGCTCATCTTTTTTTTCTTAGTCAAGTAAGAAACAAACAATTCTCAAGAAATTAAGTTTTCCTCTTATACTTTAAAAGTTAGGGGCTACATCTCTGAAAGAGCAGTAAGTAGTTATTTATAACTTGTGTAAGACAGCAGGAAGAGTTAAAGCAGTTCACTCTGGCAGTTAGAACATTAATCCCTGTTTGGGTTTATTTTAGTTTATGTGTACGGGTGTTTTGTATGCATGTACGTCATGTACCAGCTGTGTGCAGTGCCTGAAGAGGCCAGGACAGAGTGTTCTGAGAAAGAGTTGCGGACAGTTTTGAGTGACTGTGGTGCTGGAAAGTGAACCAGGGTTCTCAGGAAGAACAGTCAGTGCTCTTGAGGGCTGAGCTGTCTCGCCAGTCCCTGTTCCTCTAAGTCAGAGAAGTTAACCACAACTAGATATATTTAAAAAACCACGGATTCCTTGTTTTTCAAAATATATATCCATTTTCACATATTCTTTGTGTGCCAGGGACACTGTGGCACGGTCCACAGGCTAACTGCCTTTCTTGACTCTTGACAACATGGTATACAAGCCAGTTCTCCGTCCATCAAGTTGCCTAGGTGAGGTGTTTTGTCACATCAAAGGAGAGTCACTAATACAGAAATCCACCAAGCTAGGGTCTGCATTGGTTAGGGGGAGAAGAAGGGATGTTTTGGGTAGGGATAATTTTAGAACAATCAATCAAATCCAGAGGACAAGGAATAAAGTCCTTGTCCTTAACCAGCTAAGCTAGTGGTGAGATAGGATTTAAAAACTCTATCGTATAGGCCAAATATAAAGCTAGAATGAGTTCTGAGGAGAAAAATGTAAATTTCTTAGAAAAATACATTTGTACATTTTTCTGGATTATGAAAAAGAAAAATGAGAATAGAGAATACAGTTAGAAGTTGAAATGTTTTTCAAAAAAGAAAAATTAAAGCAAAAAGTGTGAAAGTCACCATTATAAAAAACAGAGCCAGGGAGAGGCTTTAAAAGTACACAGACAAATGGCCCAAAAATGCAAAAAGAAACAGAGAAAGAGGTGTGTCTTATTCACACATGTGCACACACGTCTCTCGTCTGCATATCTATGCACACTTGCATGCTGCCTGGTATCCAAGGAGGCCAGCAGAGGCCATCGGATCCCTTAGACTAGAGTTGAAGATGGCTGTGAGGCAGCATGTAAATGTTGGAAATTGAACCCAGGTCTTTCCCAAGACTGATCAGTGTTAACTATCTCTCCAGCCTAAAAGCCTCTCTCTTAAGTGTATCCATGCATTTGAATTTTGGATAAGAATTAAACTTTCTCCAGAGTCCAAAAGAGTAAATCTACGCAGACTTGAAGAACTTTGAGCGCTAGCAGCCAAATATGACGGCCAAGTGCAGTGCTTACCTCTCTGGCCGCACAGTCGTGGGGCGCTTCTTCTTTATTTACCTTTCCCTTGGGAAATCCCCAGCCTGACTTTGCCAGGTAACCCTGAACCAGTAGCACCTGCAAACAAGCAGAAAGTCAAAAACCAAAACCAAAGACACCTACTTTCATTTCCCACATTCCACTTCCCAACCAAAGGCATTTTTCCTTTTTATTTCTTAATTTAGTTCATTTACCAATGAACTGTGTATAGCATTTGGCCTAAATATCGTCCAAGAGTACATAAGCCGTAACAAGTACAAAATGCAGTACAAGATGCAGAATGCAGGCAGCACATCAGAAATTTAGTTCTTTAACAATAACAATCTAAGGGTATTTTAAAACCTCAATTTAGAACACTACATAAAAAAGAGGTTAAGAGCACTGGCTGCTCTTCCAGAGCTCAATTCCCAGCAACCACATGGCTCACAACCATCTATGAGATCTGGTGCCCTATTCTGGCGTGCAGGTGTACATGCAGGCAGAACATTGTATACATAATAAATAAATCTTAAAGAAAGTTGTCAAGATAAAAATTAACAGTTGTCACCATTGCACTAAAAATCTTGTTGCAATACACTCACATTCTCAAGTGTCTCATCAAGAATAATTGCACCATATGTTGGTACTCCCATTTTATACTCCTTCCATTCATCTAAAACTTTTTCCACATCTTCACCTTGTGGCAGCAGAAATGGACAATGACTGAAGAGTACACATAATGTTAAGGAAACTACCTTTCCCTTAATTCAGCGTAAAAAGTTACAACAGGGAGAGGATGGAGCAATGCTCAGTGTCTAGGAGCACTAGCTGCCCACTAGAGAGTCACACACAGTCCAGTTCCCAGTGCCCACATGTGTGGCTCACAGCCATGTACCTCCAGCTCCAAGGGCTCTCACCCCCTCTTCTGGCCTCCAGAAACCTGTACACACACACACACACACACACACACACACACACACAAATATATATATATATATATATATATATATATATATATATATATATATATATATATATAGTCTTCCCAAAATTCTATACAGAAACAGACCTATTTACACCAACTGCATTTTGTATGAAATTATGCAGGTTTATATGCCACTCAGGTTACGTTTCCCTCAGCACAATCATTTTCCTTTAACAAATTAACTTTTATATTTAACCCAAACACAAACCAAGCTGTGTTTCTGACTCAGATACTCATTAGTGACTCTATCTCACATGAGTTGGCACGCACACACACGCACACACACACAAAATGACAGCACTGGAGAAGCACATACATTCCACGAGAAGGAAGGAACTGCCGGGAATATAAAGTTAAATAAAGGGCAGGCTGCTGGGAAGTAGATGAGGAATAAGGTACACGTGACATTTCTGAACGACTTTACCACATATATGCATGCATTAATTTCTGTTAACATTAAAGCTGAGGGCTTACTAAAGTTTACAAAGGAAAATGTGGGTGTCAGTTTCAGAAGATATTAAGCATGTACCTAAGGAACAAAACTGTAAAATTATTAGAAAACAAATTTATAGAAAAAAAAAAACACTCTAAAACTGTATGCTTGATCTTTTGATGTCCCAATCCATCAAAGGCCCATGACTGAAACAGGATGAAGCATGTAGAGAAAAACATTTTATGACAGTTTTTCAATCTAAGGGGCTATTCATGGTTATCAAGCGCTGAAAAACTTGTATATTCTACTGTTATTCTGACCGATGTTAACCCTATGTGGCATGAATGGATTTTCAATTATGTCTGACCACACACATGAATCCTACCAGTTGACTTCACAGGACACACTGATAACACTATTTGAATTCCTCATAAGCTACTAATAACAGCAGAAACCAAACACTATTATATACAGTGACAAGAAGTTTGGGTAAAATGAAGTCATTTAATTCATTTCATAAATATATTTTATGAGCCCTGCAACATATGTAATATATGAAACACAAAGTTTATTTGTTTAATGGCTGAGTAAGAACTAAAACAGCCCTCTACAAGTCCAGATGTCAACAACCTATGTCATCAGAACTCAAAGACAAACACATGGTCAACCTCCATATCATTATTTCCTACTTTCAAGGCTAACTCTGGATACATTATCCATCCCATGAACATCTGTGGTTCCTCAGAGTCCAAGGTACTGAAATCATTTCCCAATAAAAGTCTAACTCTATAAAGTCATTAAAAATTCTGTGGTGTAAAGTCACCATCATAAGAGTTAAAAAACAAACAAACCTCAAAACCCAGTACAAAAACAAAACAAAACAAAAAACAAACAAACAAACAAACAACTAAGCAAACCTATAGCTTCTTTTCAAACATGCCCCACCAGGTCTCTGCATATTTCCGTGAGTTACTTATCAGCATCTCTTTCCCATTTACTCTACAACATCTTACTTTTCCACTTTGTCAAGTTCTTCTTCCAAAATGATTTTAAGTAATCCTCTATCTATTCTCAAAAATATTTTTCCACAATTCTTAACACTAATCTGTTCTTTCCTAGATGACAGATCTATCCTAAACAAAGCATGTACAACTAGCCGGATTTCCAAATTTACTAATTAAGCAACACTCAATTGTTATTTATTAAATGAAGAAGGGAACTGGGAACATAAGAAATTTAGTAAATTCATGATCTCCAAAAGCCAAGTAAGGGGTCACTCTGGTACTGTTCTTCAATGTTCTCTGGAGGTTAGTCTACTTTACCACCACAATTCGAGCATTTCTTTTTGTCTCTCAGGACCCTAAATGTTAAGCCTATCTTGTTCATTGCCAACTGCCCAGCACATAGTGATCATTCAGTTATTTAACGAAGCAGTTTCTTCTTAATAAAAGTTCCCTCCCCATATACCTAAAGTGAAAACTGCACCAAGTTTTTGATATCTGTAACACTAAGGTTAAGTATGAAACTTACATGCACACTCATGTGCAAATTCTTACTCAGAAACCCAAAAATGTACAGCTGTTCTGGAAAAAACATCAGTCTATATACAAAATGACCAAAGCAAAGGATTTTGCTATTAATGTTTCCACAGCTAGGGCATAACACCTAAAAGCAAAGTCTTCTGTCTGTATAGAACTAGTCACCAAGCAAAAGTAGTACTCAAATCCAACCCTATTTTCCTGTGACTCATCATCAACTTCATATCTATTCTATTAAGGGTTCTAAGTACTTGTGTCAACTGTTCTTTCTGAGGCTCTACACTCTTGGCTCATAGCCCTACTCCTGCCTCAAGTACTAGTGCTTGCATTGGCTCAGGTGGTCAACCAAACCCATCTTGAATATTATTTTCACATGTCGAACACCTACCTTTGCTCAAACACTTGCCATGTTAACGTCAGTAGAACAGTGTGTTATCCAGTTTTTATAGAGCTCTAGAAATCTCTTACTTTATGTGTTTGAGTAGCGGCAGGGAGGTTAGTAGTTTCTTATTTTGAGTCACTTGTACCTATCTAAGGCTAGTTCTAACAAAATGAACCTGAGAGGACAAATTCACTACAATGCACACTGAATGACTAAGAACACAGCCTACAAAGAAGTCAAATCATCCTGCTCAAGATTTAAAAGCCCCTACCCCACCCATAAGTGTGGCCCTACAAGAATCCTGCACTTGGCCCCAACTAGCGTATTTTTTGAGTTCTCTAGAACCTTCCAACTCCACAAGCCTGCTCACTCCCTGCTTGTGTCTATATAGGAAACTGTATCTCCTTTAAAAATGCTTTGTCTAAAATCTTTCTACCCTACTTCTAGATTCTAAGAATATTTAATACGGCAGCCCCTACCCCTGCCATGTAGAGAGTTCATTTTATAATCTTAAACATTCAGGTAAATCTTTTATGTTTTATTACATTAAAACTGTCTTTTGTGTCTGTTTTTGAGTCCTAGACTTTGTAGACCAGGCTGGCCTTGAACTCCACCTGCCTCTGCTTCCCGAGTGCTGGGATTAACAGCATGCACCAGTATGTCTGATAAAGCAGTTTCTTTATAGAGGAAGAAATGCTTCTTTGACCTGATGGGCTAATGACCTATGAAGAGTAGAGTAAACCCAGACCTGTCCCAGAAATATGCTAGTTATTTCTACGAAAAAAAAAAAATCAAATTCATTACTAATCAGTATATACTTCAACAAAACTGCACATTTCTATTTTCATTATGTGTTATCTGGAAGTTAAAAAAAAACTCAAAGAAAAGCAAAAAGAAGTTTGTATTAAAATATTTTACTAGAAAGAATGAAAGACAATCATTGCAGCAACAACAAGGATATCAGCTTTGGCAAAGTCTCTTATCCCGCACTGAGGTAATCCTGGTGTGTTCTGCATGTAGAAATCCAAGTAAAACCAATGGGCCAGCTCAATCTGGAAGCAAACGCGGATTGCATTGTCTCTTTCCTCGCTGGGAATATGCAAAATAAATCGGCTGTCAAAAACAAAAACATACAGAATTTAGGCTTACAAACAGTTAGTTTAATATATTTACTTCCTTGCCCCACCCACCCACTTAGGAAGGAGACCAAGAGCAGCCCTGATCACTGTCAACTAAGAACTGCCCTGGGCAAGTGTTAGAGAGCTGGTTGTGGCAGTGCAATGGCTGTAATCCCACCACTAAGGACACTGAGGCAGGAGGGTCGTGAGGATGAAATGGACTTGAAAGAGAGGATATGTAATGGAACTTTTTGAAGCGTTGTATAGCTACTGCTCACAAATACAGAGATTAAGAGCTTCCTAACAAAGCAAGAGAGGAAACTACTGGGATTTCTTTTCAAGTCCAAAAATACATGCTAATATCATAATCCAGCAAAAGGGCTTGACATCCATGTGGCGCCCAGATAGAAACAACACAAAAGACAACCATGGGTGAAAGAAGTGGGCACTACAGTTTCTCTATTTAACACTCTGGATTTTCCAAACAGCCCAGCCGCAGAGCCTTGATCCACACTAATCTCCAAATACTTTGTCAAATCCAAAATTGACTTTTAAAATTACACTGAGGAAAAAAAAAGGGTGTGTGTGCTTTTTATACAGAAACACACCGTAGTTTTATCTATGTGATGAATATAAGCACCATCTTTAGTGAGGTTACAGGTTAGAATACACCAATCTAGGTGATTATGAATGGCAGCAGTCACGAAACACCTACTAATTGCTTCTTTCACAGTTGAGCATTTTGAGTACTCCTTTTTCCCTTCAAGTATTAGAAACAAATTCAACTAAGTAAAATAAATGTACTGGCCTTTTGGATCACTTTAATTAAAAAAGAGCTACCACTCAACTCATCAGTAGGATTACATTATTTAATTGCTATGATAACAAGTGCTTTTTTAAATTATTATTTTAGTTCTAATTTTCAAATAAAATCAAAAGAAAATATTTTAAAATTTAACATCAACACCACATTCAAATTAGAAATCAACAACAGTACGAACACATAAAATATGTGTGTGTATGTATGTATGTATGTATGTATGTATGTATGTATGTATGTATGCATGTATGTATGTGTGTGTGTGTGTGTGTGTATAAAAAATGATTGGTAGACCTGCAAGAGGATCTTTCTGTGTAAGGAGACCTTGTTCTTAGGTGCACTGTTCATCCTATCTACCCTCACCTCCTCTGTATACCCCACTAACTCCTACTCATCCTACTTAAGCGTACCAGACTCCTCCGAGCACACTTATGCTCTGTCAGAATCATGAAATGTCCAAATTTGTTCCCTGATGGTATATGCTATCTCTGCAGATTTTCATTACCAGTCTAGCAAAATGTTAGTTTTACTGATAGTTGTAATTTACCTTTTTAAATGTTTATGCTGATTCTTATTCCTATTAAAAAGTGAGTAATTCTCTGTCCCTGTCATCAAGATATAACCACAGAACCTGGACAGAATACATAGAGCAGCTTATTTCAGAGGACTCTGAAAAATAAATACATACAAAAGGAGGAAGCTTGGAAAAAGTTGAAATCTCTTCAGGATACCCTTACTGAGACTGGGGACTCTGGTAGGCAAGCAACAGCCACAGGAGACAACTCCAAAAGTCTCTTCTTGGAACAAGGCGCCTGACAAGACAAGGTCCTTCCAATGTTCAGCAGACAGGATGGCCTAGCAGTCCAGAAGTAGGAAAATTCCAGGAAAATGGCCCCATAAAACTGTGCATGAGCATTGAGGTTTATTCTGCACATGCTCAGATGAGACTGGGAACAGCCTATTATAATCTGGGTAAACTGAGAAAAATCACTGGAAACTAGTCCTCTTGCCTGGTCAATAAAACAAACTGACATTTCTGGGGCCTTTTCAAAACTGCTTCCACAGCAGAAGAGGATTCAACTAACTACTCCTGCTCCTAGTCCATGCTGTTTCCTGTAAAAGGAACTTTTATTTGCCTGTTTCACTGGTTGTCTTGGAGGCTTACTGCCTCTGTCTGCTAACTAAGGCCTAGTCCCGGAAGCTTCTAGCCTCCATACAATCTAACATAGGCCTAGAATGTTTTCAGCCCTCTAAGACTTACTGCTTAACAAGCTCATCCTTTCTTGTTCTTACTGCGTTCTGCCCTGGCTGGTTTAACTTAGCTGTTCTGGCTCAAACTCCTCTCTCAGCTAACTGATTCAATCTGGCTTTTCTCTCAGCCTCTGAATTGCTCTGCTTGGCCTCAAAATAGCTCCAGCAATCTGCTCTAATCTTCTGTCTCCTTCTCATTCTTTTGCTCACTGAGTCTTCAAGTGAGTTCTCTGCAACCTGTCTCTCTATTACTGTCCTGGCAAAACTGCCTCTTCTCTGTCTCTCTCATTGCTCCTTAAGTAGCTTCCCTTTCCTCTCTTCTAGTGAGAGTTGGGCATATCCTACTCTGTCAAAACTTTCTTTGATTTGTCACCTTTCCTGCCACTCAATTAAGCATCATTTTCAAACATGGGTGCTTCCTTCTACAAACCACAAACTTTACCTTTATTGTTTAGGATTAAAGGCATATTTCACCAAACCTGGAACTAAGCTGTTCTTTACCCAAAACTTGCTTTTATACCAGGCTGGCCTAGAACTCAAATCTGTTTGCCTGTCTCCTGGATTAAAGGAGTGTTTGTATTCCAGCTGGATCACCAGATCTAGAAGACCTTTGGATATGATATCTTGCCAGCCAGATCACATGGACCTAGGTCTTTGGATGTGATCTCTTGTCAAAACAGCCATTTTCTAAATTAACATTCCGCTACAACTTCCTTCTTCCCATTCTCTCAACAAAACAATGCCTAGTTTCCCAGCTTTCCTTTTCTATTTGCTTTGTTTTTGAGTTAAGAGTCTCACTATGTAGCCCAGATTGGTCTGGAACTCACAGAGATTCATCAGCCTGCCTACCTCTGCCTCCAGAGTGCTGGGATTAAAGGTGTGCACCACCACTGCTGGAGCATGGCACTGCTGACATTTCAAACCAGGTCGTTCCAATAAGAGGGGTGCCCTGCACAAGGCAGAGTGTTCCCAGACTCTTATCTGGGTATACTACCTGCCAAGATGTCATAACTAAACCATTTCCAGATACTGACAAATGTTCCTGAAACACGGTGGGTGTGTGTGTGTGTGTGTGTGTGTGTGTGTGTGTGAGAGAGAGAGAGAGAGAGAGAGAGAGACTTTCTGTTTCAGATGTGCTAAGGATAGATGACAGAAGACCACTGTTTGGGACTGAACTTCTGTAGTAGGCCCCAACTAACCAGCCTGGATGCATGAAACAGAAGCACCAAATCTATACCACATTGTTTTCTGACCTTCCCGGAAATCAAGAGATAGGTAGCAGTCAAACTGTCAAGAACCAGTTTCATTGATAAGGAAGAGAAAATTATGAAGCTCCCCCATATGTAAACTGATATAAATTTACTAGTCTTCTGGAAGTTTCTCCTTGATACCTGGTAAGGAGAGCAATTTCAAAACAAAAAGACCACTTTCCATTCTTTCTTCAGCCCCCCCCCCCCCATCTGACAATCTTCTGCCCAGTTCTCTGGTTTATGCTACTTTAAAGGCAAGCAAGAAAGGCCTTAGAAGACTGTCATCTACTAAAAGATCACCATGCTCATGACACTACAGTCAGAAAATGCAATTTAGAGCCACACCAAGGTGGTCTGTGATTGTTTCCTGTAGTGTCTTCTGTCCCACAATTATCTGCAGTCACTGGCCTTGTCTCATTCTCTCTTTTCAGTACCTGTCACCATTTCAATGGGCTGAAGGCAGATACAGCCTTGGACCTGAAGCCTGAGGATATCCGCGCTCTGGGTCATTATTCAGAGAACTGGGTCCTTGACTATACCACAGGAAAAAATTATTATGACTAGCCAGAGTAAAGCAAAGTTAGTGAATTTATTAATCAGAAGTTATGGATAGTATACATTTTAGATATAGAAGGGTAGGGTAAAGAGAACTCAACTGACTCAAGAAAAGGCTAACAGTACACAGGCCAGGTAGGGTACAGGGTTCTCAAGGGAGTCTCACTGTCACACAAGTGTGTCAACAAGAAACATCTGTATGGTTGAGGCTGGGGGTGAAAGCATTCACCCTTCAGACCAGAGCAGAAAGTCTATTGCACAGAGCCAGAGAGAGGGGGGCAAGGCCAGTAACAAAAGAACTGCGCTCACAAGACAATGAGACTTGCACTGTTTTAGAACTGTAGTCTCTTGGTTAGGGTGATGGCAATAGTTAATAATGAGAGTTAACACCATGACAGAATCTAGAATTACCTTGGTGACAAACCTCTGGGCACACGTGATGTTGATTCAAGATTAAGTGAGGTGGGCACTTGGATTAAGTCTAGGATTCAGTTTAGGATTTATACTGAATTGAAAAAAAGCATGAGCACCAGCATGCAGCGCTGTGCTTTCATGACCAGCCTCATGCTGTACTACTACATTGGACTGTGTGTCACACTGCCCACACACTTTCAGACAAAATAAATACTTTTTTAAAGTTGCTTTTGGCAGGTATTTTATCACAACAATGAGAAAACTACTGTGACTCACCATGCATCCCACAACAATACAAATGAGGTCAGTCCTGATTGGTCTCATGGTTGCTAGGGCATAGAACAAGGTACCTTTGAGGCCCCTTGTGGAAAGGGTTACTTTTCATTTGCCATTGCAGGAACCTGACCTAGACAGGCTACAGTACTCTGGGGCATAAAAGCTAACTCTGCCTTCTTCTGGGAGCCTCACTCTCAACATGTAACAATCCATGCACACTGCAGTGACCACCTCATGGTCCACTGAGCTCAAACTGTGTTTAAGAATTAGATTTCTTCTGCCATGATTTAGGACCTTGTCACGGGACTCTAGGTTGGGTTACATTCTCCTGCATTTGTTCTCTGCTCAGTTGTGTACAAAACCTGTGCTGGTTGGCTTCAACTATCAGTAGGACAACCTAGATACACCTGGGAAGAGTCCCTCAGCTAA